TCCCCTTTTTTTCGAAATTGGGCCCTGATTTCCAAAAAATTTCCCCCCCCTTTTCCCCCCAGGGTTGGGCCCCCGGGTGGGTCGGTTTTTGCCCCGGGGGGTCCCCCGGGGGGGGGGGGTTATGGGGGCCCCAAGGGGGGGGGGGGGGGGGGGCGTATTGTTATTTTTTGCATCCTTTGGGGGTTAGCCCTTGGCCCAGGGTTCCTGGGGGGGGGGGTTCTTTGTTCCCACAGGACCGATCACCGATGGCCAATCGTTTCCTTCCTACTTTGCCGAAGGTGGCTCAAAAATGTCGTCCCCAGTCTGCTGTCTATCCTAACGATATCCCTTCCCGCCTTGCCCAGGGGGGGGGGGGGGCGTTTTGTGTGACCATGGGTTGGACCCAGCTCCTACCCTACCCGTCGGAAATGGTGTGTGTAAGCGCTGATTTTGAGTGACCATTGTAAAAAGAATGATTTCGATACCCTGTTGTGTCGTTTACCACCGAGTAGGGTATTTGTAGGTGGGGGTGTTATCTTGTGTAGTAGTATACGACGGTACAGCGGTGCCCTCCGCCGTGGGCCAATGAGAGCACAGCAGCAGCAGTGTCATGAAAGGAGTTACGCGAGATGAAAGATACAGCTCGAAAATCTAACGGTCACCTGTAGCATTGCCAAAGCTCGAACACCCGAAGGGAATACCACCTAGGAACAAAAAAATATAACATCATATGCGCAGTGCTCGAGAGAACTCCCGCAGGGTTCAGCCTCCGCTCATGTGTTGCGTAGCGCTACAGACCGAGCCCGGAGATAAGAAGCAAACGTCAAAATCGGGTCGAGTCTCAGTTTCTTATTTCATCGCCGCTGCTGTCGAGCACAACTTGTGATATAGAGTTAAGTAGCACCCACCGCTAAACTATGTTCCTTTTCCCTGTTTCCTTGTTTTTTTGTGAAAGTTTGGGCCTGTGTCTTCGTCTCTACATTTCTTAACGGCGGACCCGTTTTGTAAATTATGCGCCCGACAACAATTGCTGAAACAGCACATGCGGATCTAGACATGTCAACCATCGTTTGTCTTCCTCCTCCTCCTCCTCCTCCTCCTCGTCTGCATCCAACCGTCATCCTCCACAAAAAAAAAACAATCAGGCGTCACCCCCCGGCATTGCCAGTACCTGCACATCTGGCCCCCCGCGTACGAGTGCATGTCGGTCCTCGTGCCAAACCTTTGGAACATCCCGTTCTGCGACTTCGGGATCGGCACCATAGACGGCGGGCTTCGCGGGCTCGTCGCCTATGTTATCTCCAGGTGAGACTTTTTTTTTTCTTCTTAATATACCACAATAAATCCTTCTCTTAACCATAGATGGAGGGTCTAGGATATACTGGTATTAAATGAATTCATAGCGTCTTGCTTTCGCTGCGCTGAAATCTGTGTGTCGTTCGTCGGTGTGTGTGTGTGGTCGTTTTTTTGTTTTTTTTGCTGTTCATGGCGTCCTGATCGTTTTCGATTTTTGTGCTGCGTGGTGATATCGTCTTGTGTCTTTGTTGGTGCTGCTGTTGATTGTGATTGTCGTTGTTGTTGTAGACGACGTTGTCGCCCTGGTGTGTTGTTTTGTCAGTAGCCACTCGCAGGGTTTTGGTTTAGCTAAACATTTTGGATATAGCATGCAATCGGGGAAGTTGGGTCAGGGTTACGGTTAGGTTCTGGATGCCCCCCTCCCTGTTCTATTTCCTCATAAACTTAATTCCTCGCAAAGGCGGTCCTCTTTTACTTGCTAGCCCGATGTGGGCAGCATTATTTCACTGTCTTGTTCTCGTACCGACCGACCCCCGCCCAGGGAGTACGGGTGCGGGTACTGCGCGGCGCACTGTGCCGCCCTCGGTACGATCTGGCGAGGGGACAGCGTCTTCCTCGCCAAGAACATCAAGGCCATGGCGCCCGAGCCAGACCCGGAGGTGTTCACGCCCAAGGAGCTTTCCGCGATCAACATCAGCAAGAAGTTGGGGCCCGTGCCTTCCCGGGTGAGATGCCGAAGATATTATGGTGCGAGAGGCACGAAAACCGTGAAACCGTGAACCCGTCACAACGAACCGGCTAGATGGCGCGAGAGGCAATAAACCGTGAAACCGTCACAACGTGCCGGCTTGATGGCGTGCGAGGCATAGCAACCGTGAAACTGTGAATCGATCACAACGTACTATCTAGATGGTGTGAGAGGCACGACAACCGTGAAACCGTGAATCCGTCGCGAGTTACCGGCTAGATTGCGTGCGAGGCACAAAAACCGCGACCCCGTCAAAACGTACCGACTAGATGGCGTGGTGTGCCGAGGCTCGTGAACCGTTGTTGCATCCGTGAACCAGTAGCCTTCACGAATACATTAATATTGTTTTTAGAAGGGGTTGGGTTCGGGGTTAGGGTTACGACCCCCCCCTCTCTATTTTCACGTGCCATGTAGCGCTTAATTGCCTGGCGAAGGCGGTCTTCGCGAACCGCGAGCCCGTCCCGCGTTGCCGCAACGGCTAGATGGTGTGCCGAGCTTTGTTGTAACCGTGAGCCTTCACTACACGTAAACGTAGCTGCTAAATAGTGGTGTATGTACCAAGGCACGTTCAGCTTTGTTGTAACGGTGAACGGTGAACCGCCGTCACGCGTTACCGTAACTGGCTGGAGGGTGTAGCGTACCGAGCTTTGTTGTGACCGTGAAAGTGAACCGCGGTCACACGCTAATGGTGTACGTAGCGAGGCACGTTTAGCTTTGTTGTAACGGTGAACGGTGAACCGCCGTCACGCGTTACCGTAACTGGCTGGAGGGTGTAGCGTAACGAGCTTTGTTGTGACCGTGAAAGTGAACCGCGGTCACACGCTAATGGTGTACGTACCGAGGCACGTTTAGCTTTGTTGCAACCGTGAACCGTGGACCGTAATGCGTTAACCGTAACTGACTGGATGGTGTAGCATACCGAGCTTTGTTGTGGCCGTGACGGTGAACCGCCGTCACACGTTACCGTAACTGGCTAGATGGTGTACCGAGGGCCGTAGCAGCTTTTTTGTAACCGTGCACCATCACGCGTAGGGTTACTTTTTTGGCCATCCAAACCTGCTCTCAACTTGCGTGATAATGGCGAAGTGAACTGTAGTTGTGTGTTTGTTTTTATGGCCTCACAAGTCAAAACCTCCCTCCCAACGTGTGAAATGTTTTTTGTTGTGTGTGCGTGTGTTTTTTTTGCCGTGTTTTTTTTCCCACTAGGTTGAGGACGTCAGCAGCATGGCGTCCGTGTTGTCTCTATATAGCTCGGTTTGTTTATTGTCTATCACGCCTTCGTCTACTGCGCCTTAACCAAACCTGCCGTTTTGGGTTGTTTATTGTCTACGCCTTTGTCTATTACACCTTTTAAACCAACCTGCCTGCCCTGTCGTTTGCCAGCAGGTTATGTCTGAGGGCATCCGTGACATGTTGTTTCAATCAAACTCGGTTTGTTTATTGTCTAGTACGTGTTAAACGAAAGCCTGCCCTTTCGTGTGCCACCAGGTGACGTCTGAGGACATCCGTGACATGTTGTATCAGCCAAACTCGGTTTGTTTATTTTTCTAGCATGCCTTAAACGACAACCTGCCCTTTTGTTCCCACCAGGTTACGGCGGACGACATCCGTGACATGGCGTCCGTGTACACGGAGAAGGAACAGGAAGGCGTAATCAATTCAGGCGTCGTCATGGGCTTCCTCAACCGATTCATGTGAGTATCCTTGTTGTTGTTGTTGTTGTTGTTGTTGTTGCCTGTGTTGTTGTGGTGATAGTGATCATGTCCCGTTTTTAACCGTTTGACGTAATTTTAACGCGTGTGTTAAAGCCGGTGCCGACATCAATTAATACGAAGTTTTGTATTACTGCATCGTTACATGTACCCTTTCCTGTGTTGCCCATCGAAGTCAGATCGAGCCAGTACATTGTGTTGTATTGTGTTGTATCATAATCTATTTGTTTGGTTCTTTTTCGAACTGCCGGGTATCCTCTTTGTGTGTAGATGCATTAGCATTCCCCCCCCCCGGTTTTTATTGTGAACAGAACCACAAAGAACGAGTTTTTACATGAAAGACAACCATAACAAAACAAAACGGTTCTCATTGTTAAGACAACACCTTCAACAACAACAACAACAACAACAACCCTACATAATAGGGACACCATCGGGATGACCCTTGAGATGGAGCCGTTGGAGATGGGCATGGAGCAGCTCGCGCCCACAGGCTGGGAGCACGGGCACTCGTACGATCCAGAGGCGGACGCCGAGCTGATGGCGGAGGATCGAGTGGAGGCCGTGAAGAGGGCCGAGAGGAAATCCAAGTCCAACTTCTTGTCCTGTGAGCTCTAGATACTGCTGGTAGCTTATTGCTTTTTCTTTTTTGTTGTTGTCGAAAAAACCAAGTCTGGCCTGTGAGCTCGTATACTAGCTCTTTGCTTTGGCTCTTTTGTCTTCGCTTTTGCCTTCTAAGAGTTGGCCGAGAGGAACTCCATGTCCGGCTTGTTTTCCTGCAAGCTGTAATCTGTTCCTGCTTGCTGTAGTTTCTTTGTTTTGTTCTGCACTACCTTTTTTTTGGGGGGGGGGGTCGGCGTTTCGAGTCAGCTTTTAGCTGTTTCTTATCTCCCCTCCTGTGTTGAGTATGCTACCATGGTACAGCAGCACTAGTGGTCCCTCGGTAGTGCCAGTGCCTGGTATATATGGCGCCGGTGTTTGAACGGGCAGACTACTGAGTCTTCCCCACGCACAGAACAACAGAAGCAGCAGCAGCAGCAGCAGCAGCAGCAGCAGCAGCAGCAGCAATGTCACGTTGCACACATCCACATACAGTAGTCGTAGTCCCTGCCTCGGTATGTATAGTTGTTGTGCCGGTGTTTTTGGGCGGACGCAGACGGAATCTTGTCTGCGTGTCTCGAGTCTGGTGTTGCTTCCGGCGACAGCAGAGCGAGACCTCTGTTCAAGAACTAACCTACCTGTTCTTGTCTGTTTCGAGACAGTTGTTTGCATGTGGTCCTGGACAGACAGCAGTGGCAACCTTCTCGGCTCTTTCTGCTGTGTGGAGTAATCGGGCTTTGAAACTCGCTTCAGGGGGTGTGGTATATTGTGTCATCCTCCAGTGTTTTGCCCGTGTGTTGCGACGATCGGATGAGAGGTTGAGGTTCTGCCAGCCGACCTCATGGTCAAGCATGGCCCCTTTCTTCTTTCGAAACTCTTGACTCTTCCCTGTAACGTTTTTTTTCACCTGCAAAATAAACAAGAAAAAAATAAACGATATTTTGTAGGTCGTTTCTTTTGTGAGGTGAAATACGTTTCTTTTGTGAGATGAAGGGTTTCACCGTCCTCCTCCCCCCCCCCCCCCCGTTGTTCTGCCTGTTTTTTTTTGTTTCGGTTGACTAGACATCAAGATGATCATCGGCGCTAAGTTGGCCGACAGAGCGAGCCTCAAGAACACTCCAACGGCGGAGCAATTGGTAAGCACGACAACGATCATGGTTCATGCTTGTTTCTTGTTGTGTGTGCGTTGAACAAACACACAGGACTACTGTTTCCCGCACGTTTGTATTCTAGCAGTTCGGGGGGCATATTATCTTTCTACCGACGTGTTTCGTGCGTGTTGAATTGAACACACAGTACATGTTTCCCACACCTCTCTATTCTAGCAGTTCGGGGGCAGAATACATGTCTATGAACATTCCAAGAATGTGTTTCGGGCGGCGGCGGCGGCGGTACATGCTGAGAGAAAGAGAGCGTTTCCTGAAACGGCCTGCGAAAGAACTCTCTACAAACCCATCACGAGTGAAGACCCTTGGCCGTTGCTTTTGTTCACGGTTCCGTGTGGCGTCACTCACCCGTCTGTCGCCGATTGCACTTGTTGTGATGTCTCGCGCGGGTGGATATCCTCTTTCCGGCGTGCCGGTTAGAGTAAGAGCTAAATGCCAAGATGGTTGAGTTGAACGGGTCATCCTTGAAACACGTTGTGGATCCCCTGCCACCTGTCGTAAGCCGCTGCTGCTGACGACGGCAACGACGGATGATTGTGACAGGTGTAGGGCAAAAAGTGTGTGTCTATGGCCTTTTCCCTGCCAACCGTCTTGAACCACTACCTCTGATGAAGATGATGATGACGTGAGTATCGCAAAAGTTCGTCTATCGCTTTTTCCCTGGCAACCACAACACTGCTGCTGAGGATGACACTTGTAGTAGCGCACTCCATCGCTTTTTCTCCTGCCAACCACTTATTGCACTGCTGATGATGATGACAGGTAGCCCAAAAGTGCATGGAACTGGCGGGCTTCGTCCCCTACTACTTGGTGCAGATGAAGCACTCCCAGGCCCGGAACGCCTTTGTGTGGGCCTTCACTTTGCGGCTGTGCCAGGGCTCCGAGGAGGTGCCGGCCCAGCTCAAGCAGGTGACCACATCTGCAGCAGCAGCAGCAGCAGCAGCAGCATCGGGAGGAGCACCAACAGCAGCAGCAGGAATATCAGCTGCAGTAGCGGCAACAGTAGCAGTAGCAGCAGCAGCAGTAGCAGCAGCAGCAGTAGAAGAAACACCAGTACCAGTAGTGGTCACCAGTCTCTTGATTCGTAGCTCTCCCATGCAGGGTGCTTGTCACGACCTTTCGCTGCCGCGCTTTCCTTCGAGTTGTCTTGGTCGACTTCAACCTTCAGCCACAGTAGAGCGACTGCCGCTTCTTTCTAAAGCTCCTTTCACTTCTTCTCTGTTGTTTACTTGCCATTCTTTTCCCGGCGACAGAGGATCCCCCTAGGCCACCCGATCTCTACTCGTATTCGCAGGACGACTTATTTTCCTGGCAGGCTTGCGTTTTTTCCCTACAACCCTTTGCCGTTTCGGCTTTGTTATTCGTGTCTCACATGTCCCCCCTCAAACCAAAAGTTACCGCGCCCAACACCGATTGTACCAGGCTGCATGGTCCCGATTACCCCCCCCCCCCCCCCCCCCCCCCCCCCC